ATATATATATATATATATATATATATATTAATACAAACTTATATGTTACATTTCATAACAAGTTTGGGGGAGTAACTCCAAGTGGTTTTCATCAATATGAGAGTAGGTGATTGAATGAGGTGTATGCAATTGACTTACATAAAAGAACCTGTGGATGCAGATCATGGCAGCTGACAAGCATACCATGTGTCCATGTTATTTCTGTAATCTTGTGCTTGAATGGAAATATAGAGGAGTATGTAGAGGTGGATGATGAACAAGTGGTTGGTGAACAAATGGTGAATCCTGGAAATCAGCATATGGTTGCTCCTACTTTGAAAAAGGAAAAGTGTGGTCCTTCTTATAGGAACACAAAACTTGGGTTGAGGAGGAAAGTGGTGACCAAGGATGATACAGGGGGAAGTCTTGAAAATCCTCTCACAATCTAAGAGCAGTGTTGGGGACAACTTTTGTTAAGGGCATCTTTTGTTAGGGAATCTTTTGTTGGGCACATCTTTATATAACTTGTTTGTATTTATGCCAAAAACTGATGTAGACACATGTGGTTAGGTGTAATGTATGTGTCTTTTTTAATATTCTATTGGCATGTAATGTATGTGGTCCCACTTTGGTAATGTATGTGTCCTTTTGTTATTTGAAAACTGGATTATTGCTGGACTTATTAATTCCATTCCAATATATGTGGTTCAACTTTTTTAATGTATGTGGTCCCATGAATCATTAATTCCATTCCAGTGTGAAGAATCAATATTAACCAGGAATCACTAATTCCATTCCAGTATGAAGAATCAATATTAACCAGGAATCATTAATTCCATTCCATTCCAAGAATCACTGATTCCATTCCAGTGTGAGCACTCAATTCTATTTAGGAATCATTGGTCCCATTCCTTTATCAAAACTAATTTTATTTCCATAAAACATTGATTCCATTCCAATACAAGACTTTTAATTAACCAAACTTTCAAAGTACATTACGAAAGTCATTACATTATAATTTTCAAAGTACATTCTCCAATCTTACATTTCATTTTAGTATAACATACATAACAAACATAACAAACATAACAAAAAACAACAACATACAACATTTGAGATCATAATATTTCCTACTTAATTTATCCAAGTCTTTTCTGAAACTCATTGATTCTTTATCTGCCTTCACCTTACGAGTCCAAAAATTATTTTCCAATATTGATATCTTCACTTAAGTGTTGTCTTGTTTTATTAGTTTTTCATCTTGATCGACCCATTCCCAGAAATCACATTTCTTCTTCTTCTTATCCTCCATATACATAATAAAATTCACATAAGAAATTAATTTTGTAAGAGAAGTAGATGATAGATGATATAACCACTTAGCAGTGAGTTACGACATACTCTGAACTTTCTGCCCGAATTATCAGCCGTAGTCGAGGTCCAAACTTAGGAAGGATTCTCACAGTGACAATGGTGAACATAATCAATTGTACTCCTACTCTTGGATATGCTTGAATTTGACTTAGAATAATTTGATGAACTTGAAGATGCCATAGAAGCCGTATTAAAAGTGAAGGGGCAGAAGGAGATGAAGAAGGGGGATGGAGATGGAGATGGAGAATGAACCCTAATTTGGTGGTTGAAGGTTATTAAAGCACGTTTAATATTTGACCTGAGGTAATCGGTTACCTCAAGTCACCATAAAAGGTTATTTGTACTTTGTTGGTGTTTTTTGTACAAAATCTTCATTTTAATGATATTTTTTTCACTAAAAAAAATAATGGTGTTTTTTGTATATTTTTGAAACCTTGTTACATTTTAAAGTCATTTTCCTATCTAAAATATGTGAAATTAAAATGAGTTTTAAAGAGGACATAAGGACAAAAGGAGAAGTATGTGGAGAAATGCCATGGATGAAGGAGGATTACGTACGTATTGATAATATTTTTCCAGAAACTTGGGCCCCAATCAAAATTCGAATTTAGCCCAATTTAAACCTGATAATAACATATTTCCCGAAACTTAGGCCCAATCAGGATATCAGATCAAATCAATTAACTGTCATCTTTCCCCCCTTAATAAAAACCTAAAATTGCCGGAATCGCCGACGCAACTCGGAAGAGCATTCTCCCTCCATTCTCCTACGGCCATCATCTGCCTTTTCACTCTTTCAGGTGCCGTATTGCACATCTCTCTCTGCTCTCTTGTACTATTTATTGCTGCATTATTGAATACAAAAAAATTCGATGTATTTTTCTGTGTTTTGTTGCAGATCTGTAATTTTGGCATTTGGTCGTAAATTTTTTTGTTAAAGTTTTATAACAATCTGTAATTTCAAATGTCTTATCGTGCAGTTTTGGTTATACTTGGATTTGTGATTTGCTAATCTGCGAGATAAGAAAATGGCGTCGAAATTTTGGAGTAATCAGGTTTGTTTGCCACTGGATAGTGATTTTTCTGTCAATGATTTTCATTCGTGAATCAAAAGCTTAATAAAGAAACAGTCTCATTGTTGCGTTCGTGTAGTTGTTGAAATTTTGATAATGTGATCTCATTACTTTATATTTCAACAGGGAGATAGTGACACTGAAGATGAAGTTACTGATTCAGAACAGGATGATGTTAACGAGGGGCAAGAAGCTGCTATCAGTGCCCCTGGCGCTAACAAATATCTTGACAATAGTGATAGTGATAGTGAAGACGGAGATAGTCATAAGCGTGTTATCAAATCTGCAAAGGACAAACGGTTTGAGGAGTTGTCTGCAACTATTGATCAGATGAAGAATGCAATGAAGATTAACGACTGGGTGAGTCTTCAAGAGAGCTTCGACAAGATCAACAGGCAGCTAGAAAAAGTCATGAGAGTTACAGAATCTGATAAGGTCCCTAACAACTATGTCAAAGCTTTAGTCATGTTAGAAGACTTCTTGAATCAAGCCATGGCTAACAAGGAGGCAAAGAAGAAGATGAGTAGTAGCAACGCCAAGGCTTTGAATTCAATGAAGCAGAAACTTAAGAAGAACAATAAGCAGTATGAGGAGTTGATTAATAAGTGTAGAGAGACACCCGAAAGCTTTGAAGATCAAGAGGATGTAGAAGATGTGTCTGAGGAAGAAGATGAAGATGAATCCGGTTCTGAGATTGATGACCCAACAAATGCAGAATCAGAATCAGAATCTGGGGACGATGAAGATGAAGAAGAGGAAGAAGATGAACCTGGTTGGGAGAAAAAGATGAATAAGAAAGATAAGTTAATGGAGAAACAGTTCAAAGATCCAAACCAAGTCACTTGGGATACAGTCAACAAAAAGTTTAAAGAAATCGTTGCAGCTCGTGGAAGAAAAGGAACAGGAAGACTCGAACTTGTTGAGCAGTTGACTTTCTTGACCAGGGTAGCTAAAACCCCTGCACAAAAGCTTGAAATCCTATTCAGTGTTGTATCTGCACAATTCGATGTCAACCCAGGTTTGAGTGGACACATGCCAATAAATGTATGGAAGAAATGTGTCCAAAATCTTCTAGTAAACCTCGATATTCTAGCTCAATATCCAAACATTCTAGTTGATGATTCAGTTGAACCTGAAGAAAACGAGACCCAAAAAGGAACAGACTTTGATGGGACTATTCGTATATGGGGTAACCTTGCAGCCTTTCTTGAAAAAGTAGATGTTGAATTCTTTAAAAGCTTACAATGCATTGATCCACATACACGTGAGTATGTTGAAAGACTCCAAGATGAGCCTTTGTTTTTTGTTCTTGCTCAAAACATTGGTGAGTATTTAGAACGTGTTGGGGATCACAAAGCTTCAGCTAAAGTAGGATTAAGAGTTGTTGAACTTGTTTATTACAAACCACAAGAAGTATATGATGCTATGCGAAAACTCTCCGAACAAGATTTAGAGAATGAAGAACCAAAAGCTATGGGTCAGGGTCCAATTTCATTTGTGAGAACTCCTGAAATTGTGTCAAGAAAGCCGAGTTTTCCTGAAAGTAGTAGGGAATTGATGGATTCATGTGTTTCTCATATTTATAAACATGGAGATGAAAGGACGAAAGCGCGTGCGATGTTATGTGATATTTACCATCATGCCATTTTGGATGAGTTTTCAATTGCAAGAGATTTGTTGCTTATGAGTCACTTGCAGGATAATGTTCAACACATGGATATTTCAACTCAGATATTGTTTAATAGATCCATGGCTCAACTTGGGCTTTGTGCATTTAGAGCTGGACTTATTGCTGAAGGGCATGGATGTCTTTCTGAATTGTACTCTGGTGGGAGAGTCAAAGAATTGCTTGCTCAAGGTGTCTCTCAAAGTCGCTATCATGAGAAGACTCCTGAACAGGTAATTTCTCTACAGTTTCTCCATTTGTGATCTCATTTATTCTAGAGTAAATTACATTTTTGGTCCCTGTGCTTAGATGTTTTTTTAGTTTGTTCTCAAAACAAATCTTTTTCTTTTTTGGACTTTATTTCACAGCTTTACAATCAAATGTAACTAACTAGGGTTTTAAGCCCGTCAGTTGTGGCAAGAGGGACAATTTCTGTAATTTTGTTACACAGGGACCATTTTTTAATTTTGTCTTACACATAGGGACCATTTCAGTAATTTCGTCTTGCACAGGGACTATTTCTGTAACTTTGTTACACATGACCATTTCTGGAACTTTGTTACACAGGGACCATTTCTGTAACTTTCTCTCAATAGGGACCAATTCTGTAACTTTGTCTATTTCTTACAGAGGGACCATTTCTGCAATTTTGTCTTATATGGGGATCATTTCCATAATTTGTTTACAAAAGGGACCATTTCTGTAATTTTTTCTCACAATGGGACCCTTTCCATCAATTTGTCTATTAGAAAACTACAAGGACCAAAACTGCAAAAAAGAAAGATAAAATACAGTAGCTTAAGAACAGATGCAAACATTTTGGTAAATGTTATATAGGTGATGCCATTGAATGCATGTAAAATGACAATTTTGCCCTTACACAGGAACGTCTTGAAAGGAGAAGACAGATGCCATACCACATGCACATCAACCTGGAGCTTCTAGAAGCCGTGCACTTAATCTGCGCGATGCTTCTAGAAGTCCCAAACATGGCGGCCAACACCCACGACGCCCGCCGGAAAGTCATAAGCAAAACCCTCCGCCGCCTGCTGGAAGTCAGCGAGCGGCAGACATTCACCGGACCACCAGAAAACGTGCGGGACCACGTCATGGCAGCCACACGGGCCCTCACAAAAGGCGACTTCCAAAAATCATTTGATGTCATCAACTCCCTTGATGTCTGGCGGCTCCTTAAAAACCGCAAAAACGTTCTAGAAATGTTACAAGACAAAATCAAAGAAGAAGCTTTACGGACGTATCTTTTCACCTACTCTTCGTGTTATGAAACCCTAAAACTTGACCAGCTATCGGAGATGTTTGACCTTTCGAGTGGTCAAACTCGTTGTACAGTCAGCAAAATGATGATTAACGATGAGCTGCGTGCCAGCTGGGATCAGCCGAGTGAGTGTATTGTGTTCCATGAGGTGGATCATAGTAGGGTTCAGGGTTTGGCGTTTCAGTTTATTGAGAAGGTGGCGGTGTTGGCGGAGAGTAACGAGAGGGCGGTGGAGGTGAGGTTGGGTGGCGGTGGGTTGGAGGGTTTGCCGGCGAGGAGGCGGGAGGGGCAGGACTATGTGGCGGTTGCTGGTGGTGCTAAGTGGGAAGGGAATGTGGGGTATGGTGGAAGGGCGGGGTATGGCGGTGGTGGGAGGGTGTTTGGGCCGGGACAGGGGTATCAAAGGAATCAATCGAGAGGTGGGAGTGGGTATCAGGGGTCAAGGTATAATGATGGTGGTTATGGTGGGGGAGGGGGGCGCAGTTCGGTGGTTAGAGGTGGTCAGATGGATGGGTCTACTCGTATGGTGAGTCTGAATAGGGGCATTCGTGCTTAAGGAATATTCTTTTGGCTTTGAGATTTTGATCGCAGTTTTGTTTTTGGGTGGAAGAACTCGTGGGTTTTAGATGTTTTATGGATTCTGTTTCCCATTTTGAATGTTATGGAAAATGTAATGTTATCTTTCTTCTTTAGTTGCCTGCCGTTGATCATCGATTCTTCATGTCTATGGAAACGGAAACTCTACTATATTTAAATTTTGCATTTAAGATTCCATGACATGGTTTCTCATTCCGAATGTTTATAGAAATGCCATTTTTTGCTTTATTTATTTATTTATTTTTATTTTTATTTTTGTTATTTTATAATTGTTGCTCGAGACTTTTTTCTTGGTATAGATACATGTTAGGTGTGTTTGTTTCAACTTACCAGTCAAAATGTTCTATAATACATTCATTAATACTACTTTATCTGTATAGTAATCTAAACTATTAGCCTTTTTAGACATGTCTATACATCTCGCAGTTCCTTCAATTTTTCAGTTATATGTGCTACTCATAATGGGTTCTTTTAGTCGCATTTGGTATCCTATTAAACAACGTTTTACCGCAAATCTACCTCAACATCCTTGTTTCTACTAATTTCATCTTCCTCTCGTGGATTTTAGTCAGCCAATATTCAAATTCATACAATGTCGCACACGTAACAATTATCCTATAAACTTTCTCCAATTTAATTAACCAGATGCTACCCTTCACTTTAACCAATGGGTGACTCTACTTCCACTCTTCCTCCCATATGGACCATAAACACTAGATAGTTGAAACTCTCATTCGAGATAAAAGTTTGCTTCCTTAAGCTTACATCTACTCCTTCAACATACCTCTCCCCGTTCAATTCACACCAAAGATACTTTTTGTTTTAAGGGTGTTGATTTGTAGCCCTTTTTATTCTTATGTTGCTCTCAATGTGTCCAACCGAGCATTCAACACAACCCTGGACACAAACACCAAAAAAATGTCATTGGCAAAAATATACACCAAAACACTCCCCTAGGAACTCGCAAGATATATCGTCTATATACATGTTCATAGCTAAACCCTATAGAGCCCAAATTCCATCGAAAATGATATCGTGTCTTCGACAAGGTCCGAACATATGTAGTCGACTGACAATACATATCAAGAATAGCTACGACGAAACTAATGAGGGACCCTTTAGCTTCCAATGTCCTTAAAATTTTCTCTTGTTGAATGTTATCATATGTCTTCTCAAGGTCGATAAAGATCATATGAAGACCCTTATTTAGGGGTGAGCACGGTGTGGTTTGATGCGGTTTTTGAACCAAACTGGATCACAAACTGCAAGGTGCAGTTTCTATAAGGTAAATACCAATATGTGCGATTTTTGTTTCGGTGTGGTTTTGCGGTTTTACATGCTGTTTCGGTTCCATTCGGTGTGGTTTCGGTTTTTAACCAAAAAAATGTGCTAGTTCGTTTTGTGGTTAAAATGGTACGGTTTAAATGTAGAATTTTGTGGACTTTATTTTAATTTCATATTTTTGTTACAAATAATCACCATTTGACCAATTTAAATGTATTTAATATGCCTATGAAGTAGTTTTATGTTATTTGGTAAATTCCGATCGAAATATATATATATATATATATATATATATATATATATATATATATATATATATTAGGATTTTAATACCTGCATTTTATGTTGCCCCACAAAAGATTTGATTTTCTAATCTCAAATTTTAATTGCTCAGTAAATCATTATTTTTTATATATAAAGATGTGCCTTTTGATTTGAATTGCATTATGTTTGTCATAAGCAAAATGAAAAATGTTAATGGTATGCAATTGATACAAATACTCAAACTTTAAAGCAAACTAGCAAAAGCATTGTCTTATACAAAAGATTATTTAACAAAATATATTTTTA